AATATTACATGTTAATAACTTGATTGGAATTATAACCTTGAATTGACAGTTTGATACTTTGAAAATTTTGAGCCAGCCCTACCCCCAAGGGCTGTAGGGTGGGGCTCAAAGGAGTCAGTGTGCTAAAATTTCTTCATTTTCCTTGTTAAGAATAAGAGGTGCTAGTTTCAAATCCTTTTTAGTCTTAAATCTGTATGCTAGATATTGAGTAAGGTGGTTTTATTGTTTTTTGTCACTTTGAATAATATTTCTGTTCATGTTAAAAACAAAATCAACTCTCTGTATAAATATATCAGGTGACCGTTAAGGCCCATGGGCCTCTTGTTTTGTTTGTATCCACAACTTAAAATGTAACGAAAAACACTGTCATTAAAATAATGTTGTTAATGTCTATTTTTGGATGGATTGCAATGCAGTTTGTGCTGATGGATTGACCATTCCTGTCTGGTGTTGTATGTGCTTTATGGTTAAGGTCAGTTACCAAGTTACTACTACTAAGTACTTGTCCTACATCAAGTTAAGTTGCATGGCTTATGTATCTACAGATGCTTATCACATATGATGCTTCAGATGCGCGTTTTGGCCTACATATTCCGCTTCAGTGACCAGGTTAAGAAGATTGGTTAAGGTCTTGTCCCGTCTGCACCATATAGTTAAGAAGAATGGTTAATGTCAGTTTCCATGTTACTACATGGCTGACATCATCAAATATTTCATGGCTTATATCTAAGGATACTTGGCGAGTTTAAGCATAAGGACAGTTTTATGAATATTGGCCAAGGTCCCATCTGCACCAATACAATCAATAAGGGTACATTCGAATATCCGGTTGAAATTGTTGAACATGTAAAGAAAACAACCGGCACAGATCTGAACCCAGGCTGACTTCTGGAAAATTTGGCACGTGTAGTTTGAGGGGTCCAGACGTACCTGACCGAAACTAAAATGCTGACTATTACCAGTTTGCGTTATTTCTTTCTAAAACAATTCCCAAGTCACATGTAGTTTTTAAGATACGTTAATATGTAATTTAGTGGATTCGTGAAAGAAGGGCATACTTTTCTTGATGCATTTTTTTTAGCTCGCCTATCCCGAAGGCATGGTGCACGTCCGTCGTCCGTCCGTCTTCAACATTTTATTTTAAACAACTTCTTCTCAGTACCCTAAAGGCCTAGGGTGATGATATTTGGTCAGAAGCATGCTGGGATGAAGGGCTACCAAGTTTGTTCAAATAAATGACCTTGACTTATAT